TTTTGGGTGTTGATTTGTTGAAACATGATAAGTAGATATTATGTAGTGAATATTCTTTTTTTTTGTATTTTCTCTTAAATTTTTAAATATATGAAGTGTCGTTATGAAAGATCACCGTATGTACATTGTGTAGACCAATTGGTGTTTGGTGGGGTCGATATATGTTCAGAATAATATCTCCATTGTTCTTCCGTAGTTCTCACAATGGCTTGCGCGATTATTGCATTTGAGCGATTTTTTGCAGCCAGACATTAACCGTAGAAGATACGTGTGGATTGAGCTAAATCACGCAACAAAGGGAGGGTCGTAATATTTCTGAATCAAGAACAAAGGGTTGACATGGGGCAAACAACATTAACCATAGAAGATAAGTGTGGATCGAACTAAGTCACGCAACAAGGGGGGTCGTAATGTTTCTAGAATTAAGAACAAAGGGTTGACATGAAGCAAACAAGATCTAAAACTCCACGATAGCGCGAAATCGCCGTGAAGCGCAAATTGAGCGATTTTTGGAGAGGGACCTCGAGGAAGTTCGATACATAATATGCTTTGCCAAACGAGCCGCCCCTGACATACAATAGAATTGCGTTTTTTTGGCTTCTCTTGCAGAATGCGTTTACGACAAGAATTGTTCCGAGAACGTGTACATGAATGAAACCCTATTTTTAGAAATAAAAAAATAAAATAGAAATCTCCTCTACCCCTTAGAAATTTTGATTTACGTAATTTATAATTACAAAGAAATTTTGAATTTCTGAAATGTCATCATGTTTCATTTTCCCATTTTATTTAGTGCTTTGCCCAGAAAAAATGTTACATTGCAAAAAAGATATTCCGAATCTAATTGTCAAATTATTCCGAACTGTCGTAACTGCACCCCACCTTTTCAAATCGCCGTCTTCTTCATTATTTACGGAACATCTATCACAGTTTAGTCTCTCATATTTTCCGATTACATAACCATTATCTCCAATATCTGGAACAACTTTCTTATCTCCAATCAGATGAACGGCTTCGATAATTTCCAGCAATTGCTGCGAATATAAATACAAGTCAGTATCCACCTCATCCATCCCAATCAATTCCTTCTTCAACACAATCATTCAATCAATCAACACATCAACAATGCATGCAATCTACGAACTTGAAGAATTTCAAAGTCTTTGGACCCTCCTCACAGATAATTCCCATTGCGGCCATTATTCAAGTTATCTCAATGACGGTATAGTCCTCTCAGAAAAGGAATTCAACCTTACTCTCATCCCACTTCCATGTCTACTCAATAAACTCAGTTCCGGAGAAGTCACATCCCTAGAAACAGTCATTGCATTTATCAAGAAGGCCCTTCTTGTCTCCGATCAAAGCTCATATCCCCTCAGAAGTACAGAATCTATAAAGGTTGAACAGATTTTGAAAGCTGTTGAGAGAGCTAATTATTTAGATATTTATTATACAAGATACGGTCCAATTGGGCCATTGCATGGATTGCCTATTTCTAAGGATCAATTGAAAGCTATGGGGTTGGAACAAGACGAAGTAGATCAGGTATTCACAGTCGAATTAGGGCAAGTTATGTTGGATTTTGTATATTATCCTGACTTGGGACATTCAAAGAGAATGAGTTATAATCGCTGGAATATTTCCCGTAGATCAAGAAGTTTTTAGTATATTCAGTTCTTTTGGCATGTTTATAGTTTTTTTTTGTACAATAGATTTATATAATTGGAGCAATACTACAAGGATATTAGACTTTGTTTCGTTGGATGTTTGAAGATTTTTGGGATATGGCTAAACTGTGAGTAAACTATTCTCTTCGTCTGAATTCTACAAATACTACTCTCTCAATTTGGACATGAATATGTGGATTCTACGAGTTATTGTTGATCAGCGAGCAATCGCTGAACGAAACAAGAATAATAAAATGTACAGCAATGATGACTTCGTTGAAACGGCGCTGGAATAACCAGTACCCTACTTTATAGTATCATTCCTGATTGCTTTCAATGTATTGAACGTATAGACTTCACGATTCTCAATAGTAAATGAGTTTTTGGTGACCATCACACCAAGAATTCTTTGAAACCAACATATAAAACCCTTAAAGAAATCTTTCCTACTTTGAATAAGAATATTTTGAAGGAGGTTCTACCTGCTAATAGAGGTAATGTTGTACTTCTATTTTTGCCTATTTACGATTGGTTCAAGATAATTGAGCATGCTTATGTGCGTATATGATTGTAGCGAGAGACATCCAGAGATGATTCTGGATTAGTAAAACAAATACTTGATTGTTCGTTTTCTATTGCTCTCGTTTGGAAGTATTCTTGACCGCAACATACAATATAAGCAGAAATTTTTAAGGAGAAGGAATCCGGAACACTCATTTCATTCTGTTTGCAGTTTTGAGTGATGAATACCACCCTGGAGGCTATTGACAATTTGCCAAGAAATGGGTGCAAAATTGACAAAAAGTAAAAAGAGTATAACAAATAAGTTGAGATGAGTGGTAAATACAATTTACTTGTTTATTCGTTATTGCTCCTTTAATGCATTAATTACCAAACACCAATAGATCCCATTTCTGGGGCTACCAACTATTCATTTTACATATTTCAGAGCGAGTGTCGCACAATTCTACAACCATAAAAAGGGTCAAACAAGATAACAATTTAGAGATAAAACTTGAATTGCAAACACTTCGGCCCAAGAGCCTTCTTGGTATATCAAGACACACTCCAAGTTTTGCAACAACTCACCCCCTACTTTCTCCTTGTTAGTATTTAAAAAACAGCAGCTCTCCAAAAGCGACCAGTCACACTTTATCTGACTCCAATATCCAAGATTGCTGAGAATAAGACGATCATTCCAAGATGCCTAGTCAAGTAATGCAACACATGGAATATTCAATGGGAAATGGATGATATTCAGATGGAAAATAATGTACAATTTGCATTCCAATTCTGTTATTTAAGCTTCAAAGTAAGTAATTTCTGATTGATAAAATATTCTTAGGAAGAAAAATGGTTGCAATTTTTAGAAGTAATTAAATATAAATTCTCGATTGCGAAAAAACAAAAGAACTTCAATTTTATTTGTACACTTTTCTTGTTCACTTTACAACAAATAGATCAAACACTACAAATTTAACAATAATGCCTTTTCAAATCTTTTCAAAGAATTCACAAAAATCTTCTGATTCAAAATCATCATTATTATCCAAGACAGAATTCAAAAAACTTGAGAAAAACATGAAGACTCTTTATTTGACTGGATTATTCCAGAAAAACCAGGCAACCGCCAGGTTTATTGCCAAATACCAAAAGGCAAAATTAAATTCCACCTATCCATTCTCAATGAATGAATTCTTGAAATCCATTTATAACGAGACACCACAAGACCAGATACCCGTGCAAATTCACAAATTGTTCGTTCAAATTGCCATGAATGAAGACATAGATAGCTACCATCCAGTTCCCGCTGAAAATACAAATAAATCATCAATCGACTTAGAATCATCTTTTGCCAATACCGTCACTGTTCATACTGCTTCTACATCTGCCAATGCTGTTGATGATGAAACTACCACTATTGCTGTTGTTCCTGATGTTATTTTTGCTGAAACTACCACTACTGCTGTTGTTCCTGTTGTTGTTGCTGCTGAATCTGCCAGTACTGTTGTTGTTCCTGATGCTGTTTTTGCTGAAAGTACCACTAATGTTGTTGTTCCTGATGTTGTTGCTGCTACTCCTGTTGTTATTCCTACTGGTGCTGCTCCCACTAGTACAACCACTATTACTCCTCCCATTGCTGCTACTACTGCCACCAAAACAATCTTGCTTTCATCTAATACAATTTTATTTTCAGCGGACGATGAGGACCCAGAAGATGAAGAAGAATTCGACTTTCAAGCCATACATAATACCACAACTTCATTTAAGTCTAAACTTTTTAACACCTGGTACAAAACCAAGATTCGTTCGAAGGCGTTTAGAATCAAGAGTGTCAAACAAATCAAGAAATTGTTCACGTTCTTTT